GGAGATTTTTGCCAAAAAAAATCTGGGGTCAGGCCCTTGAAAGAGATTAGAACACTACCCCTTCCTCCATCTGATTTTTGGTGGTTTTTTTCCCCCTCTCCCCAGCTGCCATGAGGTGAGCAGCTTGATCCATCATGCACTCTCCTCATTTACCACAATCCCATAAAGAAGAGGTCTACTCAACCATGCAATAAGACCTCCAAAACTGCCAACAAAAGTAAACCTTTTTTCTTTATAAGCTGATTATCTCAGGTATTTTTTATAGTAATAGAAAGCTGAATAACACATTAGGCTTTCTTGGTTAAGACAGCTTTCTAATAATCAGTTTCAGTTTTCATGAGGCTTGAATGCTTTGTTTCCTATCTCTGATTCCACAAATATCTGTCTCCCAGTATTGCACTCCCTCTTTGATTTGAGTGAGTCAAAGTATTTCTGGTGCACTCTTTCCAAAAACAAAGAAAAATAACCTATTTAGAAATCCTGTTATTATTTACATGCATCTTTTATGTCATTAAAGTTATGATAAACTTTATGTACATGTGCATTTTTTTCCAGAAAAGCTGGCTATAAAACTTATTACAGTATATCATTGCCTAATGATATACTGTAATTAATAGCAAAACATAGAAAATACTATTCTTATCCCAAAATGCACCTTGTTAGCAATAACCCCAAACTCCAAAATAATACTAGAATCAAACTAAAATACCAAGAATAAAAAGTTCAATATTACTTGTTTGATATTGTCCCCTGGAAGTTATCAACAAAAGGTTTTGATACTTATTAATCAGAGAATTTCATTTCCTAGGCATATTTAAATTTCCCTCAAAGACACAATAGGGGAAGTCCTAACTAAAGAAATTGGCCTTCAGAAACTGTCAGTCTTTAGCTTAGAAATATCAGAGTATCTTATGAAATGAATAACTGTGACTGTGAATTAAAAATATAGCTCCAAAAATAATTAACAATGGACATTTTAAATAAATAAGAAAATACTAAGAATTTCAGAAAAAAAGAATTATACCATGATTTGCAAAACAAATCTCACTTCACCTCCTCTAGTCAGAGCTTGGCAGCCTGGTCCCATTTAGCATGTAGCTACTTTCTATTTTCTCTTCTATTTCCATTTTTGGTAAAATGGATTGGCTGTTTGGCTTCTGAAAACTTACATCTGTATTAATTAAAAGCAAATATTCTTCTGGGATAAAAAATGTCACACTTGGTCTACTCTGCAAATTTCTAATCTTCTAGACAAATTTCAACGTTCATATTTCAATATATAATAATTTCTCAAAAAACTCTAACCACCATTTTAAATGTCTTTCACTTTATTCTCAACTCAGATTTAAAAAATATGAAGGTTTATATCACTCATAAAATCAGAAGGTTGACTAAACTAATCAAGGAAGAAATCGTTAAGAACTAGTGATTATGAAGCCACTGAAAATACTTAAGTCAAAAGTATTTTAAAATTGTACTCCACATATGTCAGGATCAGGGTTTCAGTGTGATTTATACCTGTACTCTCAGGAAGCAAAAAGAATTCCAGCTTCCTGACAAGTGTCTCCATTACGCAGAGGAACTATAAGCTTAGCTGGTGATGAGGAATGAAAGGAAGATCTTTGAGCATAGGATGCTGTAATACTGTAAAATCCTTGGAATCTCCAAAGTGATAAGGTTTTTATTGTTGTTGTTGTTGTTGTTGTATATTCCAGTGAGTTAACTGGTGGCTGGGTAGCTTAAGGATGAAACTGGTCACAGGAAAGACCAGGGCAGGATTACACATTTGAGACTTTTCATCCCCATCCCCAACCTCTAAGAAGGGGAGAGGGGCTGAGGTTATGTTGACCACCAATCACCAATGATCTTATCAATCATGCCTATGTAATAATGAAGGTTCCATAAGACAAAGGCTGAGGTTCAGAGAGCTTCCAGATAGCTGAACACACAGTCGTATCTCCAAAGTGGTACGCCCAGAGAGATCACAAAATCACCTCACCCATTCCCTCATACCTTACCCAGGGCTTCTCTTCATTGGTATCCTCTGCAACATCTTTAGGATAAACCAATAAATATAAGTAGGTATTTCTCTGAGTTCTGTGAGTCATTCTAGCAAATTCCCAAACCCAAGAACTCCTAATCATAGTCAATTAGTCAGAACACCAGTTTAAAAAAAAAAAAAAAAAAAAAAAAAAAAGCTGGGGTTGATTTATGATTGGCATCAGAAGAGACAATTTTTGGACTTAGTCCTCAACTTGTGAAATCTGAGGCTATCTCCAGGTAGACAGGGTAGAATTGAATTAAAGGACACAGCTACAGAACCGAATAGTTGTTAATAATAAGAAATCCCCATACATTTCTTTGTGAAATCTTTTTTTTTTAAAGAGAGAGGAGAGAGAGAGAGAGAGAGAGAGAGAGAGAGAAGAGAAGAGAAGAGAAGAGAAGAGAAGAGAAGAGAAGAGAAAAGAAGAGAGAGAGAGAATTTTTAATATTTATTTTTTAGTTCTCGGCGGACACAACATCTTTGTTGGTATGTGGTGCTGAGGATAGAACCCGGGCCACACACATGCCAGGCGAGCGCACTACTGCTTGAGCCACATCCCCAGCCCCTTTGTGAAATCTTCTGAATTGATTATGTTAAGTAGAAATTATAATAGAAGAATCTAAGTTCCTTCTTCCTCTTTATCCTCAGAGATGCCTTTGAATAGGACTAAAGAGATTAGGGTTAAGAAAAAAGCCCACAAAGAGCAAAAGTAGAGCTGCAGACCAAGGTGGGGCATGAGAGTTGTGCAAAGATAGAAGAGGTCAAAAGCAGTCAAGTGGGAGCGAAATAAGCCCCAGCCCTTGACACTGTGAGAAGAATCAGAGACAGCTATTTGGAAAGACCCAAGTGCTCAAGTATCAGTCGATCCCTAACACCACCTTAAGCAGTAGTCTACAGGCAATAAAACTACTGTAAGAAATGAGAATTTACACTCTAATTCAATAACACAAATGTACACACATATATACATCAAACCAAAGTTCCTCTGATACCTATGCCATTAAATGTAATATATTCTACTATTCATATTTGTCTTCTTTCATTTTTCATGCTAAAAAAAAATTCAGGGTCCAATCAACTAAACTGGTTTTTAAAACCCTGTAACAGTTTGACAAGCTCTGTGCTGGAGCACTCACTATGTGACTTTGGGAACAGGAGAAAGTAAGGATACTGTGGGATCATAGCTCAGCCTGAATCCTGTTTCTCTACCAAATTTCTGATTTCCTTCACTAGTTTTTGAATAGGTTTCAAACCATCCTGACACAAATGCTTCTGTTTCAGCACCCTCTCAAAAACATACATTCCAATAAAACTGGTCTGCTTTCCACATCCCAGATTTCCCATGTTTGCCTATCCCTGGGATGCCCTCCTCCTTAGAATTTATTTCTACCAATCCAAGTCCACCTAATTTCCAAGGTCAAGCTAAAGTAAGCCTTCCACATAAAACAAATTTCTCTTTGCCTCCGAAATTCTAAAACTTCATCCTTTCTTACAGTCTATCTTCCACTCATACACACAACCTGCAGCTACCCTCATTTCCTATCCTGCCCCATTCCTGGGCAGAGTACAAACACAGTCTTTATAAAGAAACTACTTGATATATACTTTACATGGTAATTAACAAGTGAATATGGATCTCCCATACAAGGAAAAAACTGACTACCAACAAGAGTTGAGGTTCAAAGACCCAAGACACCAAGAATCCCTCAACCCAACCAGAACCTTATATTCTCTTCAGCAGATACTTCACCTTCAGCCTTTGAAATGACAGTTATAGCAAGCATCATAGGAAAACATGAATGTTTAATAAATTTTTAAAATTCTTCTTTCAATTAAGAAAGTAGATATTTAGGAATAATACCATGTTTTACATTCTGACTTCTGTTAATTGAAATTTAATCTCCCAAATGTAATAAATGTATCTGTACAACAGATATAACAGCAAAATGAACGTATCCCATCAAATACCCCCCACTTTGGTTCATTATGATTCAAGTAGACTGATCTATTGTCCCTCAAGTAAGCATCCTTTCCTGACTACCACCCTTCTTTTGATTATGATATTTTGTGTATCTCTTTTAAAAATTTTTTTTCATGTCATCTTTTAATCATACATTTTCATATCACTTTTCCCAATAAAATAATTAAAAAGACCTAAATCAGAAATATTAGCATCAAAGTGTCTTAAATCTATATTCAAATGTTTTAAATTGATCTAGTAACTTCCTCACTTGATAAATATTTATAAAGAAACTGCTGTGTACTCAAATGCTGAACTAGAAACAATAAACCTTTGAAGTACTAAACTAAAAGTGCCATGCTTCCAAAACAAAGAGGATAATGGGATAATAGTACATTCAAATTCATTATCCTAAGTTGAAAATCATATACATACATATGTTTGCATTTCTGTACTACAAAGAATCAGCAAGCAGTAAGGAAAAAAATTCTAAAGATACTCTCAAGGTCAAATAGTTCAAACACATATACAATGTGACAAATTGTCAAAAAAAAACATAAAACCTTTAAAAACTTATCACTTTTAGTTTTAGAAATGCTGCTCAACTGTGAAGTAAATCAGGACAGAAATATTAAATATAATTATCTATACAGACTATACTTCTGTTTTAACACTAACGAAGTAAGGGCCATTTATATTTGATAGTAAGTAGTCTTTTCACTTACATTTTTCATGAACAATACATACTGTTTAAGCTCAAATGCCTATAAATAGTTAAAATTTATCAAGTATCTCTATATGTTCTGTTTAAGCCTCTAAAACTACTTTAAGTGTGGTGAGCCAATAGTGAAATTATACAAATATGAAATAATTTTATAACTACAACTACATATTTTAAGAATACTGTTGTAAAATTGAATAAGTTATCAATGATTTAACTATTAACTAATCAACTATTTTTATTAATGTCTTATGAACATACTAAAATATTCTTACCTTAAATATGTGCCGTATATGAAGAATAATGCCATCATTAGTCCATTTAAAATAAAAATTACAGCAACATAAAAGCAAGCAGGATCTCCCAATCCTTTAAAAATAAACAAAACATATGTTCTAACCAAAATTACTTTATATGTCTAGCAATGTAAATTAAACTGCACTTATTTTGAAAATAGTTGCAAAATAAATGGTCTCCTTGGTTCCCACATGAAAACATGATGTTAATAAAGACTAAAGATGAGAACAGTGTAGTGGGGATTTAAAATCAAGGTGGAAATCTTCTGATATGCCTCCTATCCAAGTGCAGAGTCTATGCCCTGTTTTTTTGTGTGTTTGTTTGCTTCTTTGTCTGTTTCTGTGTGTGTGTGTGTGTGTGTGTGTGTGTGTGTGTGTGTTAGTTATTAGGGAATAAATCTAGGGCCTTACACATGCTAGATAAGTGCTTTACCTCTGAGCTATAGCCCCAGTCCTTTGCAAATTTCTATTTTAGGCACAGTCTTGCTGAATTGCATAGGGTGGTCTCAAAACTCGAAACTGTCCTGCCTCGGCCTTCCAAGTAGTGAGGATTAAAGAAATGCACCACTGCTCCCAGCTTAAACCCTATTTTTCAGTTTGTGTCAGGATGCAACAGAGTAAGGCATTAAGTAACACCAAGCGCCTTGTAAGGCTAGGGCATAAGAGGCCACACAGTGCCATCCTGGAGCCTAGAGTTACAATAGGAAAAGCATGTCTGCTATGAAAAAAAAAAAAAAAAAGCCCAAAGCACATGAAAGGCCCCAAGCAGGTGTCCTAGCTGAGCTCAACCTCATAGTCACCTCAGCCCAGGAGCCAGAACGTGGGTGAAGTAGGTTCCATTTAAGTCCACTTTCCCAGACACTTGAGTCTTACTAGTAGAGCCCCTGACACCAGGAAACAAATCAACCCTGTCTAGCCAGCCCAAATTTCTGACTTGCAGAATCTATAAGCATAATAAAATGGTTGTTATTTATATCATTAAGTGTGGGACAAGCTTATTATGTTGCAATGATAATTGAGCAATATCATAAAAAAAACTTACCTTCACAACTTTCAATAGGACTGAGTCCTTCTCCTCTGGTAACTGTCCAACATATCTTGGTTTGAATACCAATCATGTCCATTATTTTGGTATAAATTCGGTACCAGCTGGCCAAGATTACCTATTTTTAAGAAAATAAACACATTATAAAAAACATTATTCTAGAACAGTAATCCCAGCTACTTCAGAGGCTGAAGTAAGAAGTCACCAGTTTAAGGCCATCCTGGGGAACTTAGTGAGACCCTAGTTCAAAAATGGCTGTGGGTATAGCTGACCTCAGTGACCTCTGAGCTGTACCTCCAGAGCATTTGCCTAACATAGTATCACTAAAACACATAAAAAATCATGTACCATGCAATCCCATTTCTGAAAAGTCAGAACATACTCAAAAGCAATACTTTCATGAGAAAATACTAGAACTTGATAGTTATTTATTTGTTGTAACATTCATGTCCTCATTAATCTATTAACTAATTGATTTGGAGGCTGCTGCTGAGCAGAGACCCAGACAGACACAAACTTGCCATCAGCGCGCCTTCCAGCACATAATGAAGGCAGATATAAGGAAATGTGCTTCACAAGATCCTCCTGTTAAATCAATGAGGAAGTAAACCTCAGCTAGGCCCGGGAGAACATTTAGGGATGTGTCAAATAAAAGCAGGGAGGGCAATGAGAGGCCAAAAATCATTCCTGATATCACTGCCTTCCTCCCTTACTTTCAGGGTATACAGACTCCTGCCCACCCTGCCCTAAAAAAGTATGCTCAGTTAAATGAGAACCACTGAGAAGCATTATTTGGCAAAGACATGCAAGTTTGGTACTACTTCGATATAATGCTTACAAACACATAGAATCTAGATAGTTTTCACATTTTTCTAATCAATGCAATCAAAACAATAGTTCTCATAGAACCTGTTAAGGTTCTCCCAGATTAATAATGATCTGTTTCCCATATTCCTTCCCGAGATACACATTTTCTTTTTAAAAAAAATGAATAAAATTTAGTATATTAAATTAGATCTTAGATATAGAAACAGCATTTAATTCAAAAGAAAAAAGCAAAAAAAAAAAAATCACAATTGGAAAAAAGTAACTTACCTCAGGGTAAAGATTGAACCTTTTTAATGTATTAATAACAAGAGGGTATTCAGTCAGTTTATCATTCATAATCATCCATACTCCATTCAAAAATGAGGGGGCTTCCACAATAGTCTTGAAGTAAGAATAATATAGCCCCTGAAATAAGGGTAGTAAGTCCCAGTTATAAAAAAGTACATAGTTATTATGTCTCCTCTTAGCCTAAAAAATGTTTTAAATACACTGTCTCTGAAAAAGAAAGCACTGCAGAAAGTGATAGCCACATTAATATTACAGGTTTCTGATCACTGATAAATTCTTAGTTTCAAAAAAAACTACATATTTTAGAATAACCTTGTCTTCATTAAAATAATTAAACACAAAATAGTTTCAAAATTTAAAATATATAAATAAAACTCTTAAAAGATATATATAAATAAAAGTTTCAACACTTAAAAGATATATATAAATAAAACTCAGCATACTTCGTCTAAGAAAAGTCTATAATCCATATTAATATGTATTAGAAAAACCTAGCTTATGAACAGAGCAAGTGGCTTATTTTGAAGCTAACATTTACCATGAACCAAGAAAAAAAATGCTTTGGCCTATTTATCTGAATCCCCAAAACAACATCAGTCATCTTTAGTCCAGATTTACATGCAAAAATGCAAATACACTGAGAAAGCTGCATAATGATATTATGTATTAATTTCATTCACATGCCAAATAATTCTTTTAGATCATTTTCCCTCCTATCAATTCAGCATAAGGTAAGAACCCTGTGGGTCTGGGGATGGGGAGGGGTCCTGTTTTGACACAAATAACGGTTTAGTTTGACTTGCTACTTTGGAAACGTAGCACAGACAAAATAAAACATGGGACAAAAAATGTGAAAGTACTAGACACCAAGGGAGAGATCGAAGTGGCAATATAAAGGCAGATAAATACAGAATACAAATACCATATCCTAAACAGTTTTACCTATTAGCAGCTATCAAACTCAAAACTGGGTTTGGGCTCATAAACACTAAAGTGGTTTAACAACGTAGATATTTATTGAAAAAGAAAAATGTTCTTGATATTATAATGCTTTAGCTCTTTGTTTTTAAAATTAAATTTCCTACTGTACTGAGTTAAATAGTGACTCTCAAAACTTCATGTCCACCAGAACCTAGGAATATAAACTTACTTGGAAACAGGAATAGAAACTTATAGGAAACAGATGTAATCAACTTAAGATGAGATCATACTAGATTAAGATAAACTATAAATCCGATATAACCAGTATCTTTTTAAGAGGGAAATTTGCATATAGAGAGACAGGAAAAAGGGCCACATGAAGATGGAGGCAAAGACTGGAGTGACACATCAACAAGCCACAGAACACCAAGACTCCCAACAAACCACTAGATGCCAGGACACAAAGGGAGACTCCCCCTACTGCCTTCAGAGAAAAGGTGGCCTGCCCACACCTTAACCTCCCACTTGTACAGAACTATAAAAAAATACAATTATGCTATTTTAAGCCATCTAATTTGGTGTAATTTGTTATGGCAGCCCTAGAAAAGTACTACACTTACCTTGTTTTGTAGGTTTGATTTTAGTTTATTTAATCTTAAAACAAAAAATTTTACAGTCCTAAGAACCAAAATAAAAATAAAAGGAATTAACTATCAACTGGGACGAGGACTTCAAGTAGCTTTAAGACACAGCAATTTTACTGTACATCCTTAGTGGAATATTGCCTAAAGTCAAAATACATTACAAGAAATTCTTGAAAACGGAAAACTATTTTCAGTAATCAATTTTTCAAAAATATCTTCAGTATTATTATTCCTAATAAATGTGTAATTTGAAATTAAGATTCTCAGACTAAGCAAAAATGTAGAAATTTACTATCAAGTAATTAAAAATCATCTAAAATCTTATTTTAAATATAACATAAACTCACAATTTATTTTCATTTTTTAAAAATTTGTTTCTTAATTCTGTTTGCTAAAAAGACCTAGACACAATGGTCAATCTAGTAGGAATAAGTATTTTCAGTGCCAAGATGTGGTAGTCTCTAAATACCATTTGCCACTAAAAGGAATTAGGGCTCTTTAGAAAATTGGCTGAAGCCAGTTCTGGGGAGAAAACATTTTTCAGTACTTGAAAAAGTAAGGAAGATATGAGATACTAGTAAGGTCACATCAAGGGCATGCAGAGCCAAATGCAAATTTTTCACCAGCTATAGATAGCAAAATCTACAAAACATGTTAAAATCCATTAGATCATAAGGATACTGTAAGAAGGAACTCCACTATTCATGACTAAATGATACCAGAGAACCAACTCATCTTTCTAAAGAGTGGCAAATGAAAGAAAATAATTGCACATTTTCCTATCTTTCCACTAAAAAAAAAATACCTCCCAGAGAATCCAAATAAGTATTCTGAGAAAGTTCTTTATAAAATTACAGGGCATAAGTTCAAGAAAAAAGTAATAGAACAATCTCTGTTTGACATTACTAATGAGAAAACAGAACTAGACTGATAAGCTGGGTTTTAAGGAGGGACCAGTAATACAATTCCTGAAACCACTAATTAAACTTAAAACTGCAAATTGGGTTGAGGATGTGGCTCAAGTGGTAGTGCACGCACTCGCCTGTCATGCGCGAGGCGCTGGGTTCGATCCTCAGCACCACATAAAGATGTTGTGTCCACCGAAAACTAAAAAATAAATATTAAAAAATTCTCTCTCTCTCTCTCTC